AGCGGTTAAAGTTTGGAACGGGCTGCCCAGGGAACTGGTGGGGTCACCATCCCTGGAGGTGTTCAAAAAACGTGTAGATGTGGCACTTCGGGACATGTTCGGGACATGGGCTGTAGGTTGGACTTCATGATCTTAAGATCCTTTCCAACCTTGATATTTCTGTGACTCTGTTTTAGTGGTCATGGTTGTTTTGGGTTGATGGTTGGACATGATCTTAGAGGTCTTCATCAACCTTAATGATTCTATATCTAATGGTACATCCACTTCCAGGATGGGAGAATCATTCGGAGGAGTCTCGGCAGTTTTCGGAAGGGCTGCTATGGAGGAATTGGAAAGATAGAAGCGTGTGCTTTGGGGCTGTGAAATGGTTTGTAAAGTGCAGAACAGGTGAGGTTTGGCCTGAGACTGATTTTTGACCTAGAGAATGTTGCTTTGAACACATCTGAAGGATCTCACTGCTGAAAGTTCAGCGACGCACTGATCGTAGCGCCAGCATGAGGGGCTAGTATTAAAGCTGTTACCACAGTAGAAGCATAAGAATTGATGCTGAATAAGATTTAAAAATACAATGAGAGTTTGATCTTAGATATCACCTTCACTGTTAAATAGTATGTCCTTTGAAATTTTCACAGCTACGCAAAAGAGTAAATTAAAATACCATTGACTAAAATGGAAGTTGTTAGAATTTATTAGAACACAGTCAAGTCATTAGTAATATAATTTGGCCTCTTAGTCATTGGACAAAAGAGTGTATTGGAATATTTATTTCTCAGTAGTTCCTTGTGTTCCTAACTGTCCAGGTTTTGATGGGGCAGAAGGATGAAGATGTTTGGAGAAGCTGAAAGGGATTCGTTTATGTACCACTAAAGATTTTCAGTCCTCACTTCTAAGATGTAGATGCGCAGATTGCCGAGGTGTGCGTGGGTTGCGTAGCTCTACAGACTCCTCGTGGACCCTCTCGTTCACCGTTACCGTAGGCACTTGGTATCTTTATTTCCACATCGGGTTCTTGGAGATGCCTGAGTGAAAACTCTGCCTTCCACAGCTTCGCTCACGTTGGGGCAGTGACAGGACTCGGTATTTTTGTTGACGATACGAGAAGCGTTTGTAGGCAATAATGTTCTTTTTAACAGTATTTTATCTGTATTTGCAGCTTTCTTATGAAGCAACTCTTCACTGTAGCCAGGTGGTTGTACACTGGCCATGTACATGGTGTCCTGAAGTCCACTCAGGACCTGAAGTGCACGTTTGCTGCTGGTGGTGGCTTGGACAACTGAGTTGTCCTTGTGACATGAGGTTGTAGAGTTGGGCATCTCGAGAGGTTAGATACTGAGAGGGAGGACCTTGTCAATAAGACAAGGAGGCGAGGAGGTGGATATTATATTGGTTAATTTAACTTTTTTCTTACAGTGCTAGGAAAAAACCTGATACTTGGACCAGTGTGTATTTTTTGTGCTTCTGAATTTCTTAAAATGCTCAATATTTCATTGTCTTTGGAGCCTAGTTTGGGATGCAGTTCTGGAGTAACGAATTGTGAAAAGTGCGAAGAGCGTTAAAGACCCCGTCAACTTTTTCTGAAGACTTTGGGCACTTCCCTGGCTAGAAACGAACACAAAATGAAGGCAAATTGTGAACACCAGTGTAACAGAAATGTTGTTAGTCATATGCTTAGATAAATGAGGATAGCTGTTTGCTTTAGCTTAAAAATGTAATGAAAATCACGACTTACTTTAAATACCTCATGAAGTATCTAACATACCTATAACAAAGGAGCTTTTAATTAGAAAAAATCCTTCATCATCATAATGGCGATAAAATGGAGATTTGTCAGTAATAGGTTTCACCATGGAATTTGTTATAAATTCCCAGAGTAACCCTGGGAATTTACTTGCTTTTGTCTGCTTCAGTTGTTCTCGTTAAAGAGGTGGTTAAATATTTCCCTGTCTCGCATGATTTGTCTATTTTTAATCTGCAAGTTCTTTCAGGCAGCGACTGTCTCTGGACTGTGCCTCAGTCTGCGGAAAATGGAATGAATATCCAAAAGTATAAGCTCTTCTGACAGACCGCCAGCACAACTGGAATATTTTTAATGACAAAAGATTGATATGAGGATATCTTTGCAAATTCCGTCAGGCCTGCTGGCTTTTTAGGGACATTTAGCAGGATATGCGAGTTGGAATTATTCTTTTTGAAGGAAAGAAGGGAGCTGGAGTAACTTGAAACAAGAAATGGCTATATTTGTCCCCCGAAACTGACCCTGAAAGAATGTGGGGTCAGCTTCGTTACAGTCAGCATTCACACGCCTACACTGCTCTAAATAAAAATTTTCCATTCTCATGGCGCGTGTGTCCGTTTTGTGCGAAGGAAGCTGTGATTACACTCGCGCAGATACGCGTCTTCTCCGTGTTCGTTAACTCCTCCATCCGCTCTTGTAGGGGAGTGAACCGAAGCATCAGATAAATCCTCTGGTTTTATGTGCCAGAATTAGTGCGTTAGGAGAGCACTCTAATTCTGCTGATCTTCCCTCTTCAGATCCGTGTTACCCTTTGCTCATCAGCTCTTCTTTTGTCTTTCCGTGTTACTAATGTTGTCCTCGAAGAATAGGTAGAACATACCTGGATTGGCTGGGGCGTTGAGAAAAACGACTGGTTTCCGTGTGGAAAAAAAAAATCGATGTGGTCTTATTTTTACTGTTTAAAACACCCTGGGTTCCTATATCTCACTTAAAACATATGAAAAAGAAATTCCTTTGTAGCTTGTATCAGGAGAATAGTGCATCTGGATGTCTTTATTAGCTTTCTGTATCCAAGTGCAGCATTTAAAGAGCTCCAGTAATTGGCCCCATTTGCAGGCTTGGAGCAGGAGCCAAGTCCATATAAGCTGTCCAAGGAAGCAGGAATTAATGCGCCGCGTTTCTCATCCCGGGCTTTGAAATTTTTTGCTGTTGGGAAGCAAAACAAATTTAGGAAAAAAAGAAAAAAAAAAAGAAAGAAAACAAACCCACCAACCACCAACTTTCGCTGCCTTTGAGGAAATTAAAATGCAGGTTTTCCAGTGTTGTGTTAGGGCAACGGTACTGTGGCTCTTTCTAACGAGAGATTTTTCCAAGCGCGCTGGGGACGGGTGCTGGGAGGGAGTCGAGGAGGCTGCCAGGAGTTCAGTAGCTGCAGCAGTCACAGCAGCAGGGTGTGGAGACTGGAGCGAAATGACGTCTGGATTTGTCAGTCTTCACTTTGGAACGGTGCTTTCCTGTCTTTAAAATGACTCTCAGCCTGCGTCGCAGGAACTGGCGAGCGGAGCGCAGGATGAAATTTTTCATTTTGCCTTTCAGAAACCTGACGTGCGGCTCTCCAGAAGCAGCATCGACCGGGAGGACGGAGGTCTCCAGGGCCCGGTAAGTGTGTGTGGGATCTTTTCATCTCCCGACTCTTTCTCCAGTGTTCCTGGTAGAACGTGTTGTACGCTGTCTGGAATTACGGGAGATGCTTTAAAGCTTTTTGTTAAAATGTTTCCACCATTATTACACAGTTCTACAGCTTTCCAAGAGGCTCAGCTTCTGTGGGAACAGCAGCTGTGGCAGACTGCTTCACGCGGCAGTTTGGGGGATTTGGGGCTTGCTGGGCTTTTTTTCCCCTTGAAGCTGCTGTTGAAACAAATACTAAAATGTTTCCACAAATGTGCTGCAATAAATTTTTTGTAACATCCGTGTGCTGCATAATAGAGCCTTTTATTTTAAAACATGGATAGTTTTCTGAAAGTTCTGTCAACAGGAAGCGGGATTAAAATAACTTTTGCGGTTGTTTAAATATCTAAAGGGTTTTCTTGCAAAGAATGTAAATGTTACTGTTGTATTACCCAGAGATCTGTTTGGGGTAAATGATCCGCTCTGAAACAAATGGAATAAACCCCGGAGCCATTCATTTATTGCCAGACAACAGCTGCAGCTGTGGTATTCGTTCTTACTGGCTGAACCTCCTGCCTGTTTAACTAAAAGCATCTCTTGATTGTTTAATTGCCATCGGAATCTCGGAGTCATGCTGATCGAAGGGAGGGTGGGCTAGGGACTGTTAACTGGTCGTCTGTTTGAATGTCCACTGTTTGTCCCCAGTAGTTAATATTTCAAATTCACTTATCTAGCTCTTTTGGGATGCAATTGTAAACTCCTTGTTTGGCTTCAGTGTTCCCTCACTACCTGAGAATTTAAGGACTCTTCCTGCCCTTGCAGCCAGAGTCACTTCATGAATTAAGTATGTTAACGACACGCTGCAGTGTGGTCTCTAGAGACACTCATGTCTGGAAGCTATTTATTTATCCATGCATTGGAGAAGACTTCTAGTTATTGCTATTGTTGCATCTTAATATAAGAACAAGTAAATAATGCATTTTGTGCCACTCGTGAACGTGCTTTGAGATAACTTGGAGATTGTGAAATCGTGTCAGAGGTTTGAATCTTTAAAGAAGAGCTTCTTGCAGCCAGGTCGCTTCTCTGACTGCTGCTTGATCTCAGCACGGCTGCCTGGGGTTAGAATAAAAATTGCAACAGATCCCAAACTGCTTGTAGGGGAAGTCCTGTCTTCCCACACGAGGCAGTACAATTTCACACCCCATTTGAAAGAGCGTGAAAAACCCACTTTGTGATCACTGACTAAACAAGTGTTAAAAGAGACTCTTAATTCGTGAATGGCTGCGTTTCTAGTTCCAGAGTTTGATCTTGCATTTTCATAGTTCTTAATATATTCCGATCGTAACTCTGAGTGACTTCATTTGCAGCGGGAGATGTCTGAGACTTCTGTGAGTCAACCTCAGTTTCTCGTCGAGAGGATGAGAACCAGGCACTGCTCATCCCTGGGAGAGCTGGGGTTCAGTGATTGCCCAGCGTCGCGCAGAGATCTCTGTGACAAGGGCGAGGGCAGAAGCCAGTTCGCTGAGGTCATTCGCGGCTTCCCCACCAAGTGACTTCTGGTCTGATGAGTCGTCGTGGCGCTGAGGAGGGTGTGGAGCAGAAAGCTCTGATTCCTGCCGCGACCAGCGGAGTCTGCGCAGTTCAGGGGTGCAGGGAGAAAGGAGAGGAGTAACTCACGGTCCTGTTCTTGGGTGGGAGGGTACAAACGAGCAGCTGTCACACACATTTAGAAGTTTGCAGCTGATGAGCACGAGGCTGTACGGCTTCATGCACATTCTTCCCATGTGCATTTCCTATACGCGATTTTAGGGAAGTGAAAACGCAAGAATTGTTTTAGTGGAATTCTGCTTTCCTTCCTGTCTGTCCTCCCTTCTCCCCTGCCCAAGGTTATCAGATTTGGTCGATTGTTTAGGTTAACAACACAGTTCAAAGTTAACGATGTGGCTGATGGTGCTGACAGAAAGCAGATGTTTTCTCTAACTGTAGAGGGCAGACAGGTGTGTGTGAGATGATCGGCCAGGGAGTTTGAGAGGTTTGTGGTGACAGCAGAAGAATTTCAGGACTTTGGATCTTTGATTCCTACCCTTCGTTCCTGAAAGTGAAATTTGATTTTTTCAAGTCGGTAGTTACAGACTTGGAGTAAGCAGGGTGAACACGCTCCTTTATTTCCAGCCATCGCTTTTCTGCTCTAAAGCATTAAGTTGCTAGAATATCATGTATGAAACTTGTAAGAACTTCAGATTTCACCCTACTCAATCCATTTTTTATGCAGTCTTACTTTCTGAAAGTTGTACTTTTTGCCCCAGGTTTTAATAGGAAACTTAGAAAAATTAGCTTGAAGTAGAGAGCGAGGGTGGGAATTTTCCATACCTGCAGATAAAATTTGGCAAAGTTTTAAGCAGCTGAAAGCAGCCTCATGAAGTGAACCTGAGCCATAGGAGCCTTTGTCAGAACCCGTAACATGACTTCCTAAAAATGCCAGGCTGCAACTTTGAATAAATGCTGAACTGCAATCGTGAGTTGCTCCAGTTTGTTGATGAGAAGATGAGAGAGTTGCAATGGCCTGAGCTTCTCGGTTCAGTTCGGAGGATCTCCTGCAGACTTTCTGGTGCTGTTGGGCAAATTGCTCGGTATCCTCACGGTCATCTAGTGCTGAAACGAGGTGGTGGTGGAGGGAGAAGTTAAGGAACAGTAACTGTACTCCTATTGTCCCTGATACCTGGGTGTGTTTCTGAAAATAGAGAATGTGAGACATACAGAAACAGTTTCCTGAAAGGCCAGAAAAGAAAGTTAACGAGTTAACCTTCCGAGGTCATGATTTGCGATAGCGTTATCCAGAGCTGAAGGTAAACTTAAGCAAATACTTGGGTTTGGACCATTAAAAGTGAATCCTAAGCTATCTGAATGGCATCTTCAAAGCACTGGAAAAGCAGCTTCCTTAGGTCTGACGCAAAGAAGTATTCTGACTTTGCAGAAAATGGTCTTTATTTTAGAAATAAATGCCTTTTTTGAGACGTTTCAGTACTAGACCTATTAACTTCTAATTGCCTTCAGTGGTTTTACTTTGTGATAGAAACTCCTTTAAACAGATGCGCTTGTGACTCTGTTGGGATCCCAGTGCTTTTTGTGACACAACAGCTGCGCGTTATGTATAAAGTAGTAATTTGGTTGCGACCAAACAGATTTTCATCTTTCACTGAGTCACAGAATATCTTAACTTAGAAGGGACTGGTAAGAATCATCGAGTCCAACTGCTTGCTCCTTGCAGGACTACCTAAAACTAAGAGCCTCGTCCAGGTGCTCCTTGAACTCTGACAGGCTTGGGGCCATGACCACTGCCCTGGGGACTGACCGACCACCCTCTCAGTGAAAAACCTTTTCCTGATGTCCAGCTTGAGCTTCCCTTGATGCAGCGTCATTCCATTTCCTCAGGTCCTATTGCTGGTCACCAGAGAGAGCAGATCAGCACCTCCCCTCCGCTGCCCCCCTTGGGGAAGCTGTAGGCTGTGAAGAGGTCACCCCCAGCCTTCTCCAACCTGAACAAGCCAAAGTGACCTGAGCCGCTCCTAAGTCTCGCCCTCGAAGCCTTTCACCATCTTGGGCTCCCTCCTCTGCATACTTTAATAGTTTGATGTCCTTCTTCTGTCGAGGTGCCCAAAAGTGCACACAGTGCTCGAGGTGGGGCACACTGCTGACTCACATTGGACTTGCTGCCAACCCAGACCTCCAGATCTCTTTCTGTGAGGCTGCTTTCCAGCCTCTCGTCCCTCAGTTTGTACGTATAACCGGGATTAACCTGTCGCAGGTGAAGAATCTACCACTTGCTCTTGTTTATTTTCATATGGCTATTGATAGCCCAGCTCTCCAGTCTATCCAGATCTCTCTCTAAGACCTCTCTACCCTTGAGGGAGTCCACAGTTCCTCCTAATGTAGTGTCATTGACAAACTTACTTAAGGTACATTCAATTCTGTGTCTGCATCATTTATAAAAACACTGAAGAGCACTGGTCCTAGAATGGAGCCCAGGGGAATCCCACTAGTGGCTGCCTGCAGCCTGGTGTAACCTCGTTTACTAAAACTCTCTGAGCCCGACCCACCAGCCAGTTGGTCACCCAATGTGTTCTGGGCTTGTCTAGCTGTGTGCTGGCCATGTTGTCTGGAAGGATACAGTGAGAGACAGTATCAAAAAGCTTTGCTAAAATCTAAAACCAACTACATCTCCTGGCTTCCTTTGGTCAGCTACCTGGGTGACCTTATCATAAAAGAAAATTAAGTTGATTAAGCAGGACTTTCCTCTCACGAACCCATGCTAGCTCTGACCAGTGACTGTGTTGTCTCTCAAGTGTTGTTCAGTAACTCACAGAGTAATCTTCTCCAGAACTTCACCAGGCACTGAAGTGAGGCTGACAGGCCTTTAATTACTAGTGTCTTCCTTCTTGCTCTTCTTTAAAAGAGTGACAAAATTTGCCAGCTTCCAGTCGACTGGGACCTCTAAAGACCCTTGAGAAATAATGGAGAGAGGTCCCGTGATGACCTCAGCGAGCTCTTCTCAGTACCCTGGGCTGCATCCCATCAGGCCCTGTAGACTTCTGTGCATCCAGCTGGAGCAGCAAGTCTTGAACAGTTGGGAGTCAGCTGGGAGTGCATCCCTGTCCCCATTCAAATCTGATTTAAAGCTCTTTCCATGATCCCTATTTCTTCCTGCACAAAGATCCTTTTTCCCCTTTGAGACAAGGGGACCCCGTCTGTTGCCAGCAGCCCTGGTGTCATGTAGACCAACCCATGATCAAAAAAACCTGAAAATTCTATTCATGATGAGCCAGGTGTTGATCTGCTGGCTCTTCCTGTTTCTTCTGTCGTTGTTCCCTACAGCTGGAAGAATAAGAGGAAAAAGTTGCCCATGCTCCAGATGCCCTTAGCAACCATCTCAAGGCCCAGAAGTCTCTCTTGATCGCCCTTGGACTTCGTATTGCGAGTTCGTTGCTGCTTACAGTAATGGATAAAAATCTGAGGGCTGTACCAGGGTAGGAAGTGTTCCCATCACATCTTTAACCCAGGCCCCAGCAAGCCAACAGACTTCCTAAGGAGTGGCTCTGGGCAGAGTATTGGATCCTCTGTTCCCCTCAGAAGAGCCTCCTCTGACAATGACCCATCTTTTTTTCTCTGTGAGAGTAGTTTTTTGATGCCTGGCATAGGCTGATGTAACCTTGGCAACACCTCCAACTTACATGAGCCATCATCCTTGTCATTGGTTGGTTCCACTTGCAGAGCCTTGTACCCCTTGTGCAAGGGCACCTGGGAAGGTGGCAGGGTCACAGAGGAGACACGGAGGGTTCACTGTGCACCCGGACACTGAGGTGGGCTCTCTCCACCATCCTGAGGTTCCCCAGATTCAGGAACTCCCCCGTGCATCGCTCTGGAGCGCTCGGCTGCCGATCATGCTGGCACCAGAGCTGCTCGCCTTGGCGACAGAAGTAGTCATGAAGGTTGTATAAACATGGTTACCAAGAAAAGCCACTTAAATTAGGGCCACAAAGATGACCCAGGGGCTGGAGCACCTCTGCTGCGAGGACAGGCTGCGGGAGCTGGGATTGCTCAGCTGGAGAAGAGAAGACTCCGGGGGGACCTTATCACTGCCTGCAGTGCCTGAAGGGACCTACAGGAAGGCTGGGGAGGGACTTTTTACAAGAGTGTCCAGCGATAGGACAAGGGGAAATGGATTTAAATCAAAGGAGAACCAGTTTTAATTGGATCTTAGGAAGAAATTCTTCAGTCCGAGGGTGGCAAGACTTTGGAATAAACTGCCCAGAGATGATGTGGCTGCCCTCTCCCTGGAGGTGTTCAAGGCCAGGTTGGACGGAGCCTTGAGTAGCCTGATCTAGTTGAGAGGCGTCCCTGCCCATGACAGGGACGTTTGATCAGATGATCTCTGAATTCCCTTCCAACCTAGGCCATTCTGTGAAATTATTAAATACTTGCAGACAAATAAGCAAATTGACCTTGACTGAGAGCTTTGCAGCAAAACCAGAAAGTAAACCAGCTGACAAATCTGTTACTGTTATGGAAACCCTTCAGCAGTGCAGAAATACCATGGTCTTCCAATTGTTGCACTGGCATTGCTTCTCTGCCACTGTGACTTCTACAGTTCGATCTCCGAATACAGACTAAAAATGATTGTGGTTATACCACCACGTTTGACTAATAATGAAGGAAAACCGGTAATATAGAGGTCAGAGCTGTTGCAAGTGGTGCAAGATAAATGAAAATTGTTTTCTTTTTCTAAAGATAATATACCTGTAGTTCGGCACTGAGCTATTGATGGTTGAATGGGGATGTGTTTTTAACTGCTGGGAGATGTGCTGAGAGCCAGCTACTCTGTGTTTGAGATGTGCCTGAAGAAAGTTGTGAGCACTGTAATAACGAGTCTAAACGTCTGTTTTATTTTATAGGCCGGTAACCAGCACATATATCAGCCTGTGGGTAAACCAGGTAAGCAGTAAATTCATATACTGGCATCTTGAATCCTCAATTACAAGCCTTAGCAGAAGTAGCGAAGTAGGATTTACACCAGTATTTTCGTACAAGGGGCGGATTCAGTCCCAGATGACTGCGCATCCATGTTCCGGTGCACTGCGTGTTTAAATTCCCCGTGATTTCCCCTGAGACGTAGTCAGCAAAGCCAAGAAAAAGTGTTTCATCAACAGGCGGGAAGTATCTAGAGGAAGCTGAGTCACTGTGTAGGACTTCACCATGTGTGGAGTTCAGACACGTTAACCAAAAGCAGACAGCTACATTCAGGTTTCTCAGAGTGAATCACACCCGCCATTTCTGCCATGGAGAAGCCTGGTTTTCCCAGACGGACCCGGCACGCGTTGACTCGGCTGCGGCCCAAAGAGGGGAACGCCTCTCAGGTTCGGGGTGGGTGCGCTGAGATGAGCAGCAGTTGCCCCACAAAGGGATTTTCAAAGTATCATACTAAAACAGCCGCATTCTCATAACCGCAGGAAAACTGGGTGAACTTTTCTATCTTGCGTTTCTTCAGTAGACATACAGATTAAAGTGGAGTCCTACAAAGAGTGGATTTACTCTTAAGATACCTAAAGATATCCATCCCCTCTGCTAGGACAGTGAAGCCAGTGTTGTAGTGTCAGAATTATGCAGGTACCTCTGACACGTTGGTCCTCTGAAATGCAAATCATCTCGTTAACCAGATCACGCAGCTCCGCCAAAGAAACCTCCCCGCCCTGGAGCCCCGAGCCACCTGGGCAGCCTCGCGAGCCTGAACAGCCCCGTGGACAGCTACAACGAAGGCGTGAAGGTACGTTGCTCAGCCGTCACACGAAGTAACGCTGTGGAAAATGAAATGTTACCGCTCTGACGGAGTTTGCTGCTCCTGAAGTAAAGACCGTGGAAAGCCAAAGCAACTGAACTTCCCAAGTCAATGTTGTCGCCGGCCAAGCGTGTGCTGGCAGCTCTCCAGGGAAGTGGGGGATTCAACTTGTAGGCTCTTGCCCTCCGTTACGGTGAGGTTCCTCACCTGGAAGCTTTCCCAGATGAGCTTGTTCCTAGTTGGAAGAACATGTGAGATCTCCCACAGCGTTCCGGTGGACCTGCTTCTGGTGCTAGCGGGTCCCAGCAGCTAGATCTAAGCGGTCGGGAATTCTTTGTCAGTCAGTACTCTTAGCAGAACAGAAATGCAGCCAATCTGTACACGTCGATGTTGTAGCATTTCCCAAGAGGAGAAAGATGAGCGTTAGAGCACAGGCCTTTGCAGGTGCAGCGGGGCAATCCCTGCGGGAATACAACAGCTCGTGCCGCTCGTACGGCTCCTCACGGGAGGAAAACCACTGGCTGAGCTAAGCCTGTGGTAGAGGAGAGGAATCTACATTGAGGTAGACACAGCTGTTGTGATAAGCGACACTTGTTTGAGGTAGTGTAAGAAAATACAGGGAGAAGAATCCAGTTCATCTGACCATGAGATTCAAAGCGTGCCATCAAAGCGATAGGTTTAGCACAGACACTGCCTGTCTCACTCTTGCTCCTTTGTTCTGAGATGATTGGAATTTTTAAGAATCAGCGTAAACAGACAGCAGTGGTGAATTTGAGCAGGATTATTTATTATAAACTGAGGCCAGTGCTCTGCAAGCTGCCAAGCCTCAGAAAATGTCAAAAAGCAGTAACAGATGTGTTACTAAACTTGGCTTCTCTAAGATTTCCTTTCTAAATGCTGATACTGGAACATGAAAACTGTTTTCTGAAATACGTCTTTCTGACAACAAACGAACCTGAGCAGCCAAAATCATCATTAACAACAAGTGAACAAGATTTCTGTACTAAATAGTTTCTTCAGTAGAAAAGAAGGGCTGATCTTGGTTATTCTGCCAAGCTTTCTTGAAATTGGGTTGGTTTATGCCCCTTCCGTAAGCCCATTATTTTTTTAATAGCTTAGAGCTTTGTTAATGTTTGCAGCCCTAAACTGACGATGCTTCAGGGCCTTGGTTCAGAGTCCCTTTTCTCAGAATACAAATTAAAACAAAGAGGGTTTGAACTGCTTGCCCTCAGGAGCATTCAGGGCACACACCAGGAAGGACGTAGGTTTGTGTTACCTGCGGAGGCGAAGTCAGCTGGTCCACACGAAGAAACTCTTGACTTTGTGCTGTGCCGAGAAACGCAGCTCGGTGTTGGATACAAACAAGAAAAAACCATGGCGTGTTAAGAAATTCAGTGTCTGTACTCTTGAAATGTCAGGGCCTGGCTGTAGGAATGAAGTGGGTTGGGTATAACCCACCTAGAGTGGGTTCTCAGTAGTTCTTCACCACGGCTGCGATTCAGCGTCGCCAACGGGGGCTGCGCAATCGGATGACCGTGCGTTTCCTATCACGACTTTTCTGAAGAAAGTTTCAGGAAGATGAACCCGGTGCCTTCTTAAACCTACCGTAAAGAGACCGGGGTCGCACAAGACATGTTTCCCGCTGTTGCAGAGGCCCCTCTGCTCCATTCACCCCTTTGCTGCTCGCCGGACTGGCTTGCTTCTGTCAAGCTTTGCATGATCTCTTCCCCGTGCTGAGTGACAGGCAGGCACGGGTGCATGGCAAACACTTCCCTTCCCTCCGCGGGCGTCAGCTCGTGGGGCTTCCGTCACAAACGGGCCAGGAGCTAACACGAATGACCGCCGACACCACTGAGGATGCGTTTTCGTTTGCAGGCTTTTTTAACTGGTCTCTTACTGCTACACGTGTTTTGGGTTTGGTTTTTTGTTTTTTGTTTGGTTTGGTTTTTGTTTTTTTCCTGC